GCCCAAACACAAGTATTTGTTAACTTTTTGTTTTTTCCCCTCCTGTGCCTGCGATCACTTTTGTTGACCTGCCTTCCTTCAATATTCATGGCAGCCTTTAGTCGGGGACAATGGAGCGAGAGGAAACACTGCTGATGTTGCACTCAGGCCTGACAAAGTCCTGGAACATGATAGCACCTGATGCTAGGAGCTGATTGACAAGGAGGAAGAGTAGAGGACAGGTGGAGGTGAACGAGGCAGACGCAGGGAGAGAGATGAAACAAGAGACTCCAACTCCAGCTGTTAGATAATGGTTTGATGTGGAACTGATGAGACGGCACTTGAACTGACAGTTGAAAAATAGTACCGTTAAACAGTTTCAAATAATTAAATCTTTTGATACATAAAGTCTTCTGTGTCTGTTGTGTTCTCCAGAGGAGGAGCTGAGGAAGCTTCGGGAAGAGACCAATGTGGACTCCCTGAAACAGGAGCTGGAGAAGGAGCGAAGCAAGAGGATAGACCTGGAGCAGAAGATGAACGAGGTGCTAAAGACCAGGTACGAGGGCAGGGCCGCGGCCCAGGTGTTGATGGACGAGGACTTACAGATGTCCAAGATGCAAACAATAATAACAACAGAGTGACAGAAAGTGATGACATCACGTTTTGTTACATTTCAACGGAACAGAGTTTACTATAGGTCACAGGCTCATGTGTGTGTGTGCAAACAATAATAACAACAGAGTGACAGAAAGTGATGACATCACGTTTTGTTACATTTCAACGGAACAGAGTTTACTATAGGTCACAGGCTCATGTGTGTGTGTGTGTGTGTGTGTGTGTGTGTGTGTCAGTCAGTCCCCGTGGGTCTCAAGGTCTGGCTATAAATACACTCCAGTTTCTTGGCAGGCAGAAAATGCCACAAGGGTTTGTGTGGGTGTGTCTACTCGTGTGTGTGAAAGTGGGAAAACAACAAACAAGTCACATGTTCCTGTATGTGTTCTGTAGGTAAAATCCTTAGTGATCTTAATTAACCTTCAACAACACGTCTTTGGCTCCGTGTGTTTGTGTGAGTAATTAGATGAGACGGCCAATGAGAAATTCCCATGAGGGTGCAGGGGTCAAGCTACGACCAGCAGAAGCCCCCGTCTAATGTGGCGTGACCTGGCCACTGTACAAACACACACACACACACACACACCCCTCCATTCAAAATATTATACTGTATATCTGTTTTCACCTGTGGTTCTCAAACTGTGGTACAAGCACAACTGATGGTACTTTGGCTCCCTCTAGTGTTACCCCGGTGGATTGTTTTAATTTTATATTTATTTTTTTAACAGTGTTAGTAAAATAATGCATGTAGATAAAACAACACAGACAGTTATGGCTCCAGTTGGTGACCTCTGACCTAAGGTGATATCTTGGAGGGAAAGACTTTTTTATACCCATGACTAAGTGTGTTGTTTGTTCTTGTAGAACATGTATTTGGGTTCATTGCCAGTGCAGCGTCACGTCCAGAGCCGTAGATCTCCACATATTAGATTAGATTAGATTAAAAAAAAAACGTGAGCTCAACCCTGTGACAAACCATGTTTCCTTCTCGTCTTTCCTCTTCAGGTTGGAGGACTCTCCACCACAGCCTCCCAGAAAACAGCAGTCGCCCTCCAACAATGGAACAGGTGAGAACCTGAAAGAAGAAAAAAGAAAAGAGAGAAAGATACAGAAAAAGAGACGAGGGTGAGGGTGAGGGTGAGTGCAGGGAGGACTGACAGGAAATGAGCTGGAAAGGAAGTTTGACGTAAATGAAAAAAATGTGGGAGGAAAGTGAGGAGGTTGGGGGGTGAGGGGGTGTGGG